TGTTAACAACGTTGCTGAACCACTTGGGTGTAATCAGAGCCAGTAATGACTTTCAAGAGAGGCGCTTGCAGATTATTATGTTGCTTGTCTTTGCTGCAGCTACTGTTTGGGCTGTGCTTTCACTGCTCTAGTAGAGTGTGCTTTATTTGCTCTTGCCAGATTTCATTGTCATGATCATGACCTGATCAGGCTATCTGAATGATGCCAGCAGCAAATGCACGATGCTGCACTATTATGACTTTCCAACCCTTTCAGGCCAAGCAAATGCACCACCGAGTGTCAGAGCAAAATTTACCAATCCATGTTGATTGCATTTCACCATGAACCACACTGTTGCATTAGCCCAAATCCTTGAGCAGAGAATACTTCTGGTCCCATTTCGGCAGAATCTGGAGCAGACTCAATACATCTGGCCGCAATCCAGGGCACCCCCGTAAGCTTATCAGACAAAGCAGTCACAAGTTGCCTGCATACTAATGCCCCAAAAACAGCAGTGATGCGTGCCGCTCACATCGTCGCAACCTGACAGGGCGTTTCAGAACAACAGCATCAAAGATGACCATAACGGTGCGCAGGTAATTTCAATACTTGAGGCGGCTCTGGCGAGCGGCCAAGAACTTGTCGAGGGCGGTGTAAATGTCTTGCACGATGGGCCGGTCGCGATGCCTGTTGTCCTTGGGCACCTCCACCTGCCAAAGTACAGGAGCTTGAAAGTTACTGCATCTAATTTGCCGGCACAGTAGCTACTAACACTCTGCTTCTCCCTTTGATAAATGCAGTGGCATCACGAGGATCACACAGTTATGATTCTCCCTTGATCAAAATACCCCCAATACTTAAGACTCCTACCACAGCATAATATCCACTTGAATTGCTGTGCAAACAGCCATTGCCATTTGATCAAACACTTGCTTTGATGTGTACACAGAAACACCGAGAACAGTGCATGTGACAAGCCCTCAAACGCATTAAGAGTTGAGAATGCCCACCTTGAGAACGTTCCACTTCTTGACATTCTCGGGCATGATCTCGCCCTTGAGGCCCACGTACACGCCCAGCATGCGCGACAGCGTGTCCGCCAGATTGCCCTCATCCGCGCCCTGGGCATCACCTTCGGTCAGTGCTATGCTGCCATAAAGGCAGGCAGAAACTTTGTGACAGGGATCTCTTAGGACATGCTCACGTGTAGATAGCCGGGACTCCGCTGACCTATTGCATCTAACACAAGCATCGATGCCAGGGGCTCTCAGATGACAGTCCAGGCTGCATCTTTGAGCCAGAAGTTGACAATCACCCAGTGTGCTCATATGAACACGCCGGAGCGGCCGCATGCAATGGAACCAGCCTCACAGAAAGGATATACTGCAGAGCAGACGGAAGGCTCACAGAGCAGATGGAGGACAGGTGCAGGGGTCACTTACGGGGAAGGGCCAGCCCTTGAACTGCCAGGCTGCCCCGGATACAAACACGGCCACGACACGCTTCCAGTCATGACTCTTCGCGTCGGGCGCCCTGTTGGTGACGACGTAGCGCACGGGCTTGGCGCGCCCAATTGTGCGGCCGAAGGTCTCCACCTGAGTCTTCGCGCCCCCCTGCTCAGCCACCTGCTGCGGGAACTTGTAGGTGCCCTGCTCCAAGAATGCCTGTGCACACAGTTGTCATGAGATCACATGTACATTTTTTCGGGGTATAGCGCAGGCAATGCAAGCAATCGAAAGAGCTGAGAGGAAGGAGTGCATCTGCAACCGTGACAACAGCCAAGAGCCTGGCCGACATTTGCTTATTTGCTCCTCCTCAAGCGCACCAAAGGCAAGCGACGTCTAAGAGATGTCCACAAAATGACATTATGGAGAATCTCACCGATATTCCATCATTTTCTGAGACAAATTTAGAGACCATGTGCCGGCATGTTCAGAAGGTTCACGCAGCGTCTTGAATGACACGCACAGGTGGGTCTAGGGGTCATGCCTTGGCATTGAGCATGTTGATGGTTGCGGTGGCGGCAGCGGGCACGATAATGATGGGGATGCCGCCCTCTGAAGGATCCGGTTTTTGGCGGCTCTTGTGCTGCGAGCTTGGTGCTGGTCGCGCGGATGATGAATGCCTGCGCAGAAGAAAGAGTAAGCTGCAATGACAAATCACTCGTTGCACCGGCACTGGCACCAGAACAACCACCTGGGCAAGTGCGGCGATCCTTCACAGGCATGCTTCTGCAGTATCAGCGCCCAGCGCATGGAGCACTGCTGCACCTGGGCAAGCGTGGCGATCCTTCACAGGCATGCCTCTGCAGTATCAGCGCAGCACATGGAGCGACCATGCACCTGTGCTTGTCGTGGGAGGAGGATGGCTGGCGGCTGCTGCGGTGGCCGGGTGGGGGCGGCGGTGGTGGCAGTGGTGCCTCCTGCGGGGGTGGCGGTGGTGGCGGTGGCGGGGGGGGCTGCGCGGAAGCTGGCGCGGCCGCGCTGCTGCTCTTGCGCGCGCCGTACGCGTCGATCTGCTGCCCCTTGTACTCGTCGATGCCCATCGCTGCCAGCCCCTCCCCGGTGGGCCGGTCAAATCTCCGGCTCGGCAGCACTGGAATGACCTCCTGTTTGGCACAGGCACGCATGAAGCATCATCATGTCAGGTCCTCTGATTGTTGCATGACAACCCTCACACCCAAGCCCAAGCCAGCACAGAATAATGAAAAAACGACACAGTCTCCCTTTTCTGAGCAAAATGCCAGAGTAAGAATTCTCATGATGCTATGGCTATACCTGACTTGCCTCCGGAGAATTTCACAAATAGGTACTGATGCTTCAGTATGACTTATGCCGAAGTGGATATCTGCTTCGTTGCACGTCCTGTGCAGCATGCCTATGGGGCCATGCATGGGGTGCCCAAGCTGGCCCTTGCAAGGTGCAAACCAGTGAGCAAGTGCTGCCTCACCTTCTTGGAGCTGCCGCTGGATCTATGGTGGGAGTGAGATGAACTCTGGCTCCTTTGCTGTTCCCTCTGCCTCTCCCTCTCCTGCTGCTTTTTCTGAGACACCACACAGCTTTGACCTTAGCTCCAAAGGCTCCTCTTCCCAAGTACAACCCCAGATCAACGACACAACTCCATACCGGAGGCCACTCCTACAAGAATTCCATTTTATACACTCAGGCTGCCATCTTGGATTATCCTTCAACAATTCTTCACTGCGCAGAAATATGCACAACACAAGGGCCAGTTGCAGTCAACGTGGACACAACACAGAACACATTCACATGTGCCTTGCTGCTTTCAATCACTGCTTGTGTCTCGTAGATCCAACCAAGCTTTTCTCTGCATCCATGTATCGATACCACCTCCAGGCAGTTAAACTCGGGTCTGGGCTTGAGAGTGACGAGGCTCCTATGCCGTGAAGGCATGACTTCAGATGACATTAGAAAGACCGTACCTGCCACGCGGCCAGGATGCTGAGCACAGCGGTGAAGTTTCGACCTGGCACCAGCAGCTGAGTGTTGCGGTCACGCAGCTGGCGCTCCCGGCCCAGCAGCTCTGCCAGTGCCTTCGCTCCCTTGTCATCCACTCTTTCCCCTGGACCAACACCCGGATATGGGTGAGTCTACCAGCGCACATCCTGGGTGAATTATGGTCAGGCAACTTGCAGATAACTTGAATGCACCCTTTTCCTTAGGAACGGTTGCTGCTGTAGTCAACAATCAACCTTGATTCATTGGACTACTGGCTGACACCGTCAGTGCTCTTGGTTCAAGAAACACTTCCTTCTATTCTTGCCATTGCCATGAAGTTGCTGCAATGCTTCCCCACTGGCCAGACGTTAGGGAATGAAAAGCCACACAGTCAAACACTTCCAGGGTCTCCTGGAAATGGATATCCACAGTCTCCAGCAACGACTCAGCAACAACACGAGTGCTGGAGAGTCACCTGATGTACTGGCATCTGTGCGCGCCCGCTTGGCTGTCGGCTCTCCTTCAGCAGATGATGGCTCCGGCACGATGTCGGCGATGAGCATGTCATCTTTGGGAGCCTGGATGTAATCTGAGGTGTCCTTCTCCCCCGTCAGGTAAGCCACCAAATCCTGTGCATGGCATGCCAGGCCTGAAGAAAAACGAATCGAGGTGCATTGCCACCCTTCTTGAGCTGGATGAGAGATAAAGCAAACCCTCTACAGGTCTGATAACAAGGAGAAGCACATGCCCCTACAAGAACGGGACACCATATTCCAGCTTGGTTGCCAAGCCTCCACAAATCAATGTGCACCCAGTGAGACCTGGGCAAAGCCATGAAAGGTGAAGATGCCTCGTTGAAGCGAACCTTTCTGTCAACGAAGGTCACAGGCCTCACGCCAGCTTCACTGGCAAGTTTGATGAGCTCGCTCGCCCTTTTGGCATTCTTCATGAAGAACACCAGTGCACTGAGTGGGTAAAAGTCACCCCTTCCCATCTGTGACTTGTATGCCGTCGCCACATCCTGCATGTACAACGACATCGAGCCTGAGAGCGCTGGGGATCTGTGCTCTTTGAGCGTCCTGCATGATGGCTCCATGCTCGCGCTAAAGTGCAGGGTGCAACATTTATCACAGTCATTACATATAATTTGCATGGTGCAATGCCATGGATGGGATCAGGAAAGCTGACCTTCGGAAATGAATAGCGATCTCCAAAGTGTATACGTTTGCCATCCTCTGACTCTGTGACATCATCCAGCCTCTTGTCTATGATAAATTCCCGCAGCACCGTGAGAGGATCCATTCTGCTCTGATTCCTATTTGCACGCCTCACGCCTCACCAGCAGCAGTATGATGCACTACCTCTTTGCTTTTGAACGACCGGGAACGCCAAGCGCGGCAATGTTCTTTTATGCTATGTCTCTGCTTCTATGCTATGAGCAAGTACCGAGGATGATCCTTCTCGACGGATTCACCTCATCCCTTCTGAACACCTGAGGAAGGACAAAGACAAAAGCCGAGTGTAATATAAAGACAAAGAAAGCCCTAAGCTACATCTAGATTTGGGGACGTAGCTCAAATGGTAGAGCGCGCGCTTCGCATGCGTGAGGTAGGGGGATCGATGCCCCCCGTCTCCACATACTTTCCTTTTTCCGCGACGCCCATCCTTTTGCTGCTTTTAAGTGCACACAAGGCCCATGTTTAGGCAGAAGTCCTCAAGTGTGGAACATGAGCTGTCCTGAAAGAGTATTAGCTGCGTGCATGGCCACCAAATTTGAATATCTAAGGTGCTTGCAGAGGTTCTGCCAGAGAAGGCCAGCTAAGTGTTTCAAACAGATAAGTTATCATTCTTGATAAGTTCATCAGATAAGTTATCATTCTTGAATTCAAGAGGCGCACTGCATGAAGACACCGGCTGAGGTATTTATTGTCAAATAATAATAGCCTGCTGCCCAACGGACTGATCAGGATGATGTGCTCACATGCATCAGCATGATGCATTTGGTGATCATACCGCAGAGTTACAGAAGCCATTGCTGGGTCAATAAATGAGACATTTCGCGCCCTGTCATGGGGCTTGAGCCGGCATGTACTGCCATGCGAAGGCAAAACATTATGACATGGTCAGTGCCCTGCATCCAGTCACTTTGCAATACATACGTATACTGGCAGTATACGTGCACAGTCACTTCATCGGTGCAAAAGAGCACCTGCCCTTGGCTAACACTACTCCTACAAAAACCCACTTGCTTTTGTGTTGCAATTTTTGTTCAAATCTATTTCTGTCCGGATGACACTCGAGTGTCAGCAGCCCCCAATTTCCCTGTCAGAGCCCTCACAACAGGCGGTGCCGGCAGCAGTCCTCACTCCGGCCAGAAATCAGCTTGGCCCCAGGTTTGTGTTGCTCTGCACAGGCTAAATTGGGTGCCCAGCAGGCAGCAAGCACCCAACTTCAGCATGTCCTCATCTACCAGATCGGCTGGGGTCCACAGTCGAAGTCCATATTCCATCCCTCCTAAAACGCTCACACCTGCTCCAGTTTTGCTGCCGCTTCTGCTGAGGAAAGCGCATCTCCTGGCCTGTAGTTCTGTGGCAAAGGTCCGCGCTGGAGCAAAGAGCCAAGACAGGCTCCTGCTGATGTGGCGGGCTCACTTGCCAAAGTTGGTGTTGGTGCAGACGCTGGACACGCAGGAGAAGCCGTTCTGGCACACAAACCCACAGGACCCTGCCGCATGCAAAACCATCACTCAGTCCCTGTCATCTGCGCTGGTCCACTTTGCCATGCACAATTACATGACCGGAAAGACACTGAACGCAAGTAATGGAGTGGATCGGAGCTCTTGAGCCTGCAAGAAATGTCTGAGTGGCCCTTTTAATTAAGTATTGAGATGATACTTTTGCAGTTTCAAGATGACAAATCGAGACAGCCTGGTGTGCTGGGACATTCCACATGGTACAGCCATAAAAACCAGCAACAGCCAATGTGCAAAATTGAGCTGGAAGTGGAATCTGCCATGCGGCCAAAATAAGGGCTTGTTGGGATAAGTACATTGTTTTATATCTGGACCCTGCATCCAGATGTAACATTACCACTACAATGAATACGATGTCTTGCTTTGGTGCAGTTGAAGGATCTTTCTTTCAAGGTGCCAAAAATTTTCAGTGCCTGAGCCAAGCCTGTCTGGCATCCCTGACTTGGAGTGCTTTGTAGCTAGGGTACCAGTGGAGACAGGGTTCGGAGGGATCGACAATTTGGTTGTTGGCAACAGTTGCTTGGGACGCATCCATCGTGTTCAGAAGCATGCGCGCACCGCAGTTGAGGTTGTCATTGGTGGTGTCGGCGCAGAAGGGGTTGAGGGGCGTGCCGCACTGTGTGGTCCCCCCGGTGCATGTGAAGATGCAGGTGCCGATGTTGCAGATGGTGATGGCAGCGGGGTCTGTCGGACACACATTGCCGCACGCGCCACTGCCAACACAAAACATTCTCTTTCTCAGCAGCTGTAGGTCTTTCCAGTGCATACTAAGAGGTGGTTATAATGGGCAACAGGTTGAAAGACCCAGGTCATTTCTGCCAGAAGTCTCCCTAAGTTCTTACCCCCTTGGAGGCATATGACATGCAGTAATGCGAGAGGCAGCTCATTGGACTCATGCACCCAGGTTGCTGCACCATGGGACCAGCCAGTTTGCAGTGGCACTCGTGTTGACTTTGCAGGAGTTGGTTGTTGGCGCAGAGGGACACATTGTCAATTTCACAGAGAATAAACCCAATGTTCTTGCACCGGGGTTTGCGCATGCGTTGCGCCGTCGATGTGAAATCATGCCATGGTTTCGCACCAGTTGGTGACGGAGGACTTGAGATTGACGCAGAGGGAGACGCCCTGTGCAGGGTTGCCGCACTGGTCAGGGAAGTTGCGGTCACAGGTGATGCCGCAGACACCATCCGTGCAGGACCGCGACCCGCGCGCATTCGCATCCGAGGGGCATGTCGTGTTGCAGGAGCCACAGAAGTTGGGGTCCGTCTGGAGGTTGGCGCAGAATGGCCCCGAGTTGGTCGCGCACGCCTGCACCGGTGGGTTGGGCTTCACGCACGTCACCGTGCACGCACCTATGGTTCAACACCACGGACGTTCAATTCTTTTTCTTTTTTGACATTTTTGCTGCACAGGCGCAATTGCCGTGCATGCCTGCAATGGCAGGTCCGCTTGACGCATGTCATTGTGCACTCTTACAAATATGACCACACTGATGCTCGGTGCGTCTTGGTGTGTTTCTGGCGGGTAATGCTCTGCACCGGTCACCATGCACATGTACATATACCACAAATCTCCCTGATATTATTTCCGCAGTCTTCCTTCTTGCATGAGGAGCATGGCTGCATGACACTAGCTGACATGGCTTGCAACCCTTTTTGGTTGGCACAAAAATAGAAAGCAGCTGCATAGAGGACAGCGTCAATGATTGCTCCCTGTGTACTTCCAACCAGTTTCAGCTGAGCATCATGCCAGATGGGTACAAGGACAAGAGATTGTTGACTGAAGTTCTGAGGCAGTGTGAAAAAGGCGCACTGTTGCTGCAGGTCGCGGTCTGCACTCCAGGGATGGTGGCGCACTTAAAGCCGCAAGCACCGCAGTTGGCCGGGTCGGTCGTCAGGTCAGCGCACACGCCATTGCAGCAAGTCTGCCCGGTTGCACACATGACGCCGCAGTCCCCGCAGCTGCACGCACATGTCTCGGCTCAGAGCACTGTGCGCAGCAGCAAGTATTGCCAGCCCGACCTCAAAGGTGTGCATAAAGAGCTGAGGTTCATCATTTACAGCGCTTTATGAGCATTATTGGCGTGGGGTCACAGGTGCAGCAGAAGGTGTCTCCTGACAATGAGAGCGTCGACACTGAGCTGGTGCGCTCCCTAATGAAGTCCAATGTTGATATCTGTCACAAATTAACAATGGGGCAGTCGTCTACAACAAGCTTATAGCTGCATGCTTTTACTCTGATTCAGTCATGTTGCCGGCCGTGAGAGGTGTAATGCATTGCCATGGGTGGTCGCCACCTTTTCAGGCTTGCACTGCGCATTGCAGCCCACAACAACTGCCGGGCAAGCAGCAGAAGTATCCTGGACTAAAAGCCCCGATGTGATTCAGCCGGCAACACTCTACTGAGCCTACTTTTTGCTGCTGACTCAGTCAGTGACATGCCCCAACATGGACAGAAAGGAAGGGTCACAATCGATAACAAGAGGTCTTTATTGTCAAATCATAATAACCTGGTGCCCAACGGCTAGAACGTTGTCAACAACTCTTTTCTTGCGATTCAACATGGAGCTTGTTTTGGTATGTGTTGCACCACTATCCTGCAAGTGACTTGCAACATTAGGGGCACCATTCCTGCGGCGCTCACCTGCATGCAGCATTGACATCTGCAGCTGTTCACCCCTGATCTAATAGTGCATGTCAGTCCTGCCGCCTACAGTCCTAGACTCTGAGCGGGAGCAGAGCAGAGCGCGCACTTGTTGGTGTCGCTGGCGATGTCAGTCTCACAACCATTGGTCTGGTCTCGCGGCTTGCATGTCTTGCGGCTGTTGTCACAGAAGCAGGTGTTGTTGGTTTGACATGTGCCTCCCAAATTGCACGGCTCTGCAGCACATGCAAACGGAGGACCCAGTCAGCATCCACTCAGCATGTATCTGTGCACACATGCCAGCATGCCCATGCATGTAGTGGTCGGCATCCAGTCAGCACCTTGTCAGCTGCTGAGGCGAAATTGAAAATAGTTTGCTCTGAGAGATTCAGCAGGTAGTGGGCCCTGGCATGGATTTTCAGCTTTTTTTGTGAGCTTGACTGGCAGGTTACAATCGCTTGAACCTGCACTACAAAGTGCACATGAGATGCACGACTCATCATATTCCTCGGCAAATGACAGTATGGGAGGCTGCGCACCCTGTGTCGAGAAGTCACAGACGTGGTCATACAGAACGCAGCCGTAGCCATAACGGTAGTCCGGGTAGGAGGGCGCCAGAAAGTCGCCCTTCTTGATGAGCTGGGCCGCTATCAGGGGAATGACCTCGAGGTACTTGACCTGTATGCATGCGGATCCTGCCTCAGTTGCCATTGCTTTCAATGTGACATATCGGCCTTGTTTCCCCAGTCTACATGAAAGGCCAATCCGTCCAATAAAGACCCTCGCAGTGCTGCACCATGCATGCATAGTCATAGGGTGACATTCAATTGCCACTGCTCCTCATGCAAAAGGGAGGAACAGTGGTAGTCACAATCTTGAGTGATCCTGACCTCCAGTGTATACCCTTGATGATGTCATGGGCTGCTGCAGGCAGAATTACACCTTCACAATTTGCAGACACACTCACAGACAGGTGCAGCGGCTGTTTGTGAGTTGCAACACCGTTAATATCATCAGCCATGCTTTGAGCCTTCAGAGTCACTTGAGAGCCTTGCATGGCTGCAAGGTGATCACATGCCGGAGATTGATGAGAGATGTGGTCCCAGAAAGAGTCATCAGTCACTGCTGAGGATAAAACTAGCTCACACAGTAATAGGACCTGTCAGGTGAGGCCTGTCTTATGTGTGCCAGATAAGAGTGCGATAGCGTACCTGGAACTGTGCTCGCTCCTGGGGAGGGAA